TGCTTATTAGATGAACCCAAAGCTAAAGAAACTATGGATTCCATTTCTTTCTCATTACAATGTGTAAAAGATCGGAAACAAGATGGGGTTGTAAATATTTTCATATAAAATGATTGATATTGATTTTACATCAATAAAATTATTTGCAACCTTTTTTTGGCTCTGATCTTTCACCGTAAACAAACGATTTTGGCATCAGTGTCTTTTTTTCAATTAAAACGGGTGAGAAAGGTAAATAAGGAAGCATATAGAAGAATTATTTGTTGCTGAACCAAAGAAACTGTTACATAAAGATAGAAAAACTATATCTCAATCACTTCAAACAGAAAAATATGAATCATGTTTTAATCTTCGTAGCTGGTGATATAGTGCAAACACCACTACGAAAGGGAAATCTATTTTAAATTTTAGATTTGAAATAACAAATCAAAAAAGTATTTGCATTTTGTATTTAAATACTTTTAAAGAAACATTTTGAACATCTCTGTTAATTACGCGCCGCTTGGTTGAGTAGTTTCCCTGATAATCTATTCGGGAATCAATAATCCTTTAAGATGAACAGGAACGTTTTACTGTTAATCTGAAATTTTAACTAAATTCACATCTTATATTTGTTTCAGTTTATGCATTTCGGATCTTCTTTTCTGCCTTGTGGTATTACCATTCGCTGCTAGTCAATTCTTTTTGGGCACATGGATCCACGGAGATATTCTTTGCTACATCATTCCGATGATGCGGTATGGTAGTGTTGGGGTGTCGTTGCTCAGTGTTGCCACCATATCGATAAATCGTTACATCTTAATAGCGTGGCCAAATCAATACACCAAAATCTATACGAAGACCAAAGTCGCTTTCTACATTAGTCTCATATGGCTTTTTAGTTATGGTACCCAAATACCAACGCTGATGGGCATGTGGGGGGTGTTTGGTTTCGATAAAAAATTGGGAACGTGTTCCATCAAGAAGGACCAAAATGGCAATTCGCCTAAAGTGGCCTTGTTTGTATTAGGTTTCGTGATACCTTGTTTAATTATAGTAATTTGTTATTCAAAGATATACTGGGTGGTTCATAAATCCCAGAAAAGACTTCAACAACACGGTTCACTAATGGACACCAAGAGAAGTGAAATGCGGGTGACCAGAATGGTGTTGGTGATATTTTTTTGTTTCGTGATCTGCTATTTACCATTGACGTTGGTGAAAGTGTTCGACGGGGATGTCAAATACCCGGCAGTGCACATCTTGGGGTATCTGTTGCTGTATTGTGCAGCTTGTGTTAACCCAGTTATTTATGTTACAATGAACAAGCAGTACAGACAGGCGTATTTCGATACTTTGAAATGCAGGGTTGGGAATAGCTACGATTCCAATTCGCCCATACAACACCACAGCAAATCGATAATGTCGGTAATGTTTGCCAAACACAATACAGTATCTCCAAATCCCAAAGCCTAAAACTATCAACAGCACAAATTGATGGATTATTTTGACTCAGAAATACATACATATAAAGCTCCTATATGATTGAAAACATGTCAAGATAATTATTGACAAGCTATGAATTATATCAAAGTACAAAAAGCAACTACTGATTAGCTTTTAAGTTGTAAATAATCCTTATATTAAGGAAACGTGTATATACATGCATCCTGTTATTTATAAATGAATAATAAATTTTATAAAGGAAGTTAATGAGATCATTTTCAAATGCAAGCAAACAGCTTAGCAATCCCAAAAAAGTTTCCCTTATGATAATGTTATAATGTATTAAAACACGTAAATGGGGTTTGGTCAGAAGCGTTCCCCTGCGGTAACAACACCGAGGGAATCGTTTCACCAGCGGCAAAGGGTTAAAACCCTTATACGCCTTTAAACAATTCCATCGCTGTTCTCAATTAATCGTTAGACAGCGGGAATCAAGTCCGAATATCGAGTACTCTTCAAAATCTTTAGCTCTTTTGATGGGCTAAAGTCAATTTGATATAAAAATACCTGCAGTGTTTTAAATAGATTCACAGTAAGATATGAATGTAATAATTGTTCTATTATTGTTATTGTTATTTGATAAAACCTCAAAACGAAGATTCCTTTTTGCACAATACCAAATTTTATTATCCAGAAATGTCAGTAAAAGTAAAATAACAAATACAATGGAGAGATTGGCATGGAAAAAATATCACATCAAATTTCCTTAAGGATAATATGTGGTGTACGGGAAGTTATATTTGGTATCACATCTAATCATCTTATTTATGTAGGCACTGATAAACTATACAAAAAGTTGAAAGTTTACTGATAGAAAGAGCAAAAATCTCTCTATTACAAATTTGTTTTTCGAGATGAGATGATCTAAGATGATCGCAATAATGAATAAAGGACTTTCCAGGCTAGTATTTCAATGGGACATTTTTCAATTCCATAACTGGTTTATTCGTTAGAGGGCGTCAATGTTTACCAAATTTTTCTTCAATTTTAGACAAGTAAAACTCAGTTCTGACTAATTAGAGCATTCTGGATTCGAATACCACAGTCATTTTGGTATAGTTTCAGTATTTTTCACTAAAACACTTTTTTATTTCAAGTACTTTCAGAAAACGTATTAAAATCTATTTATCAATAATCAAAATAAATCAATAATTAGCCAATTAACAAAATCAATACTGGTCAACTTTGACGCCCCCTAGCGGAAAAGCTAGTCTTAAAATCGAAAAACATCCCATTGAAACATTACTGAGGGACACCCTCTTTATTCATTTCTGCATAATTACAAGTGGTTCATCTCAAAGGATTTTGTATAGGAGTGATTTTTCTTCTTTTTTAATGGTCTTATTGATTTCTACAGTAACTGTACGTGAAATTGGTTGCCTATAGAACAAGTCCTCATTTTGCGATTTTAATACACGTATACTCGCATCTTTTACACATATTTTTAATGTTTAATGCGTACAAATAAACTTGCTTACAACAAAATAACTTGTAAGCATGTATTTAAGTATCTCTTACATCTATTTTTTAAGTAATTTATTTCTTATTAGTGTTTACAATTTCAAAAAGTAAATCAATTATAGAAAATTGATATTGTTGTTAATCCCAATTCATGGTAATTATTTTTAAAAACTGTTTCTAAAATAGCAACCTGTATAATTTAGGTTATGGCCAGACGCTGCTATTGATTTTAGTATTTTATTTGTGCGACATTGGCGTGGAAATTTTAAATTTATTTGATGAATACCATATCGCGCTATAAAGATCAATATTCACACAATCTTTCTATTTGGCTTAATTGATCTTTATTAGGGGGAACATTAATAAACATATTCAGATGTTATTGTATTCAGATTCAGATAACATGGACGAATTAAGTCGCTTGTATGTAGTTATCAGTGTAATTTAGTGTGTCGTCGACTAAACGCAATGTCTTTGCCACGAACTTCAGTAAGTACCCATCTTTTACATTCCATTACCGTTTCTTATTATTTTACAGTTACTTTTCATATTTGCGACTGTTTAATTAGAGTCAGGCTACTTATAGATATATAATCTATGTGGGTGATCTGTACATTATTTTGAGTAATATCTGTTATAATAACATTTACGAGAAATATTTCAAATTTGCATACAATGCCAGACAGTAATACGTAAACAATTCCATATTAATTAAATAGATTCAACATTGCCACTAGGCCACCAACATTGACATTGAAAGTTATGTACGAGGTTTGATAAAAAGCTCAACGTACAAGTTAAACTTACGTATTTAATTTCATTCCAAAAAGTATTAAACATCTGTAGATGTAATCAATACCGTTTTATTGTTAATTTATTGATGCCATGGCGTTTGCTTTCCGATTAATCCTACTATTTACTTAATAATTATACTTATCAGTTAACTTTTTCGTAAACATGCCGATATTATCTGTTTTTGTAGTTCAATGTTAACATATAACACAATTTTACAATAGTTTTACTCTGTTTATTACCTCATACTGTTTATGTTTACATACGTAACAAATTTTATCTCAAAAAAATACAATCTATGCTCACGATAATGTAAAAATTACGCAAACATGCTGTATGCTATTTATAATCATATTTTTTTAACGCTATTGTTATCGAAAGTTTCGTTCTCTGATATCGTAGATTTCACCCCTTTTAAAAGCGTTCAACAGGACGTATTCGTCGAATGTTGCACCAACAACCAAGCTCTTTATAGACGGTAAATTCCAAGAATCTCAAACTACAGAATGGATAGATTTGCACGATCCCGCCACCAACGAATTGGTGACCAAAGTTCCCAAAACTACTCAAGCAGAAATGCAAGCGGCCGTAGAGTCCAGTAGGAAAGCGTACGAAAGTTGGAAAGATACAACCGTCTTAACAAGACAACAGCTAATGCTGAAATTTCAAGCCGTTATAAGAAGGGATATCAAGAAACTAGCCGAGAATATTACTAAAGAGCAAGGAAAGACATTGGTTGATGCAGAAGGGGATGTATTTAGGGGTTTGCGTGAGTTAAATCGCGTTCTTTAAACTAGACTATCAATAAATGAGATGGTACAAAAGTTGATTATTTTCAGAGGTGGTTGAGCACAGTTGCGCAGCGGGTACTCTCCTCCAAGGAGAATCATTAAATAACATTGCAAAAGATGTAGACTGCGTTTCTTATAAATTGCCATTGGGGGTAGTTGCAGGGATATGTCCGTTTAATTTTCCTGCAATGATACCACTTTGGATGGCTCCGTTAGCGCTTATAGCTGGAAACACGTGCATCATTAAACCTTCCGAACGAGATCCAGGTGCGACAATGTTACTAATGGAACTACTAAATGAAGTTGGGTGTCCTCCAGGAGTCGTTAATGTACACAATCGCAATTAAAGTATTTTTATATGTCTCCAAAAACTGTTAAATTTTTACAGATTATTCATGGTTCTCATGATGCTGTCAATTTCATTTGCGATAGTCCGGACATTAAAGCGATCAGTTTTGTTGGGTCAACCAATGCCGGTAAATACATTTATTCTCGAGCTTCGGCCACTGGGAAACGTGTTCAATCCAATATGGGTGCCAAAAATCATGCCATAGTTCTTCCGGATGCAAACAAGGATATGGCAATTGATCATTTACTTGGTGCTGCATTTGGAGCAGCTGGTCAAAGATGTATGGCCATCAGCGTGGCAATTTTGGTAGGAGATGCTAAAAGTTGGATCCCGGAAATCGTAGAACGATCAAAAAGATTAAAGGTCAGTGCCGGATATGAACCAGGTGCTGATATTGGACCTGTCATCTCACCACAAGCCAAAAGCAAAATTGTAGATCTGATTACTTCGGGGATAAAACAGGTTTTGTCTTAAATACCAGAATTAATTAAATGTTTTCAATACAAAATTTTAGGGAGCAAAGTGTGTTCTCGACGGTCGTAATATAAAAGTTGAAAAATATCCAAAAGGAAACTTTGTTGGTCCAACGATTTTGACCGAAGTTCAGACTGACTTTGAATGTTATCAAGAAGAAATATTTGGACCCGTGTTAAGTGTTATGTTTGCCGACACTCTAGATGATGCAATTGAAATAATAAACAAGAACCCATATGGTAATGGGGCGGCAATTTTCACAACAAACGGTAGTCATGCCAGACAGTTTGTAAACGAAGTTGATGCTGGACAAGTCGGAGTGAATGTACCAATTCCTGTGCCACTCCCAATGTTCAGCTTTACAGGTTCAAGAGGTAGCTTCTATGGCGATCTCCACTTTTATGGTAAACAAGGTTTGAATTTCTACACTCAAACCAAAACCATCACTTCGCTTTGGAGAAAAGGTCAGGCTGTCAGTCGGCCTTCAGTTTCGATGCCTGTACATCATTAAAAAAATATTTGTACACAATATGTGAAGCCGTGGGATATATCAGGATATTTTAAACGTGGTAATCAATGTTTTGGTCTTCCATCAGTATTTTGTGATAATAATAAAAAAATAAAGGTCTTTTATCTTTTGAGTCTTATTTCTTTATTATGTGTGTATTTGTGACAACATGACACGGTAATATTATGATTAATTTCGACATAAAATGTATACCGAAAATTATATTCTCTACAAATACTTTTTTTGGAATAAATAAATAAATTTCTAAGACATTTATTGAAACACCCTAATCTGTAATCGTCCCGTGTCTAAAGGCGTTTAAATATTATACTGAAAATACTTTTTAATCTTTATAACTGTTCTCGTAAGTAATGAGCGATAATTGTTTTATTCAATTATTCCTTGTTGAAAAACGTACTCTTTAAAATAAACAATTTATTAAAAACCTAAGGATTACGTGAAAGTATTTATAATAAATTATAAATGCAATCGTTTAATCAATAAACAATTTACATGCAATAGTCTAATTAAATCCTTGCAACTTTTTCTTCATGTCTGTGTAAAATAGCCATTAAGATCAGTTCAGCTGTTCGGAAGATTAGCCCGGTCACATACATATTAGTGTTGCAACAGACCTCTGCTTCCGTTTCCGCAATTGCAGAAGTTCCTCATTTTTATAACGGAAACTTATCGGAACTTAATTAAGCTTATTTCTCATCTTTCTGAAAATCAATATATCGGAACAATAAAACAAGTAAAAATTTATTATTTTTGTTATATAATTGCTTGGTATAAAGTCGCATGTCGGGCACGTACCTGCGCCAGCTTTTAGCGACCCCACTGTCACATTGTTTATGTTTATGGAGTATTAGCAATAATGTACTGCGTTATAGCCGGAAAATTTTAAATTTGGAGAAAAATGAACGCATTTGAACGCAATCTAACGTTGTAATTTACCGCCCGTGTGAGATGCACACCTACCTAAGGAGGGGATTGCGTTTTAGTGGTGACTTTCTGCAGTGGTTTAGGACCTAAATCTGTTTCCTAGTATTTCGTTTGTTGATATTTTCCAAATTTTATTCCTTTCTTATTGGATTTCTACTTTAATGTAATTTGGTATTACTTTATATGACTTTACGAGAAAGTAATCTTCACATAATTTTTAGGGTATCTGTAATTTATTTTATTTCGTCTGAAAAATTAGAATTCCGAATTCCAACATTAAATGGGTATATATAGAAATTTCGTAGACCAACATCTCTAAAATATCAGTTCTGAGCAAAGTTTTCTGTATAAATGTACTCTTGCATGATTTTATATATAGATTATTGTGTGTTTGTATGTCTAGTTTCTGTATGAGCCCTCGCCTCAAGTAGGTCGAAAAATAAATTTAGTATTTTCATTTGTATTGTTTATGTTTACGATTTGTCAAACCTTGTGGTAAAGTAATATTTCTGACGCTAAGTCATCTTTCTGCATATATCCTAGTTTCTTTTCTACTTTTAATTTAAATGATCTTCTATATTTATATATATGAATATTATCAGCGAAAGGTCTGCAAAATCGTTTGGGATTAGTAGATATAATTTTTCATCGAGCTTGAGGTGAAAGTAACCGTGCTTTTATTGTTATAAGAAATCCCACGGATATGCCCTGATTTACATATGTCCATCAAATCGTTACAATCTAACTGTTACTGAAGGTGATGGATTTTGATCGATTTAGAGATTGGTGGATTTTTTTTAGTTCGCTGAAGATGACATTCAATCATAAATACAGATGTTAAATATTATATTTAAGCTAAGCTATCGACATTCAAAAATGTCACAATCCATTTTCAGATTTGATCAATTTTTAATAATAATCTAACATAGTTATAAGTTATTTATAAAAACCGATGAAAAACAACAAATCATGAGCCACTCTGTTTATTCATAATTTATTTTCTTGAATACATTTTCGCTCATATTTTTTCCCTAGTTAACTGTTTATTTAAAATTAATTAATATCATAAAATTACGAATTGCAATATAAGTAGGTTTAATTTTCATATCGTTAAGATAAATATTATTTTTATGTTCAGTAAGTATGCGCATTTCTTAACTTTTGCGGAACTGTTAAATTACATTCTCGTTAACGTAATGCATCTGTAAGATAATTTATTTTAAGTAAACTAAAATATTTGTCTTCTAATTATTCTCGAGTATTTTAAAAAGAATCGTGACCTAACAGAAGTTGCTTCTGAGCCAGTACGATTTTTACTTCCAGTATCCACGTTTATGTTGTACCAATAAACAATAATATAATTAATACCGTAACACTGACCTTTACTTAAGCGTTCCAAACAATCGATCCGCTAAAACGGTGTTTAATCAGCTTCGGGCATTTTTCGACTTTTAAACAAATTACTTATCGCAGGAATATTATTTGCATATTCTCATCTAGTAGAAAATCGTCTCGGCCAATTACCCTTCACTTTTACTGGATCACCTTTCTTATTATAACTACTTAATAATCCAACGAATAAAGTAATTGGAGCATGCAACAATATCTAGACACTTATGAGATTTCACTGTTGTTAACAGAAGACTGTTGTCTTCACCTACCCGCATGCATTTGTTTGTAATGATTTCTTTTGTTCGAAATTGTAGTCAATCAGCTTCCGTATAATTTCTCTTGGTCGTCGCTTTTTTGAACTTGACATTCATGACGATCGTAGAAATCGAGGTCCTAGACTTGAACCGTGAAACAACAATTTCTTGTTTCTTAATCTTAATCTGAATACATGTTCCTAGCAAAAAAAAAATCTACTTAACGACATTTCAAAACCACGACCTCCTTGTTGCCTCCTCGTTCACTCATGCTCTAATTAAGTAAGAACAATTAATGTGCTACTGTTTTAACGTTGTTCAAGATGATAACGCAAAAATGACGCCCTCGTGGAAAAAGAGAAAACATCTTTATTCACACTTTCGTTGACGTTTTTCGGAACTTTCTTCTCGTGGTAAGAGAAAGAAATGAATGTGGTTTGTTGTGGGAAGGGATCCGACTGTCGTGTCTGTAACACTTCTACTGCAAGACGAACCGAGACCTTATATTAGCTCCCATTCTACACACAATAGTCGCAGTAAGGGTGCGGAATTGCTTCTGACAAAATGTACTTGATATTTACCGTGTTGTGTTCAGGCTGTGTGTTATTGTGCCTTGGAGATGACGATGGTTTCGCTACAACCAGTTACGACTACAAAAAGTCAGCACCACATCGGTGGCAATTGAATAACGAAGATTCAACGGAATTGAACATTAAACGGAATAATATAGCCGACACTACCCATTTTCCAGACACTCTTGAAAGCCCTGACGAAAGGGGAGAAGAGCCAGAAAGTTCAGAATTTAATTCCGACGCCCTTAAAAGTTTTCTGCAGACGTATGCAAAAAAATTCAAAAAGCCAACGCAGTCTAACGACAGATTCTCTGAGGAAACTGAAGAGGAAATTGCCTCAAGTGAGTTACCAAAATTAGAATCCATTTCATCATCTGAAAAGGGAAATGTTCCTCAAACAGCTGACAAATCTAAAAGTTGGGATTTAATGTCTATTAGAAAAACTAGCAATCCATTTGATCATAAAACTGGTTGGGTTTCTTTAGAAGCAGTTCCATGGTCGGTTTCGAAAGTGTCAAAATGGGAAGGAAAACCTGATATTAAACCGCATCCAAACGACCAAGAAATCCCTAAAATTCCAATTCATCACCAGATGTATCCTAAGCCTGATTATCAGCAGCAAGAAAACGATAATTTCGCAAGACCAGAAGCATTTTATAAACCCAAACCGAATTACAATACGTACAAGCCTCAATACAACGACTTTCCTCCTGATCCAAACGAAAACGAAGAACATTACTACAGACCGCCTACGCGACCCAATTATTCACAGCCACCCTTCCAAAAGTATCCGCAAAACTCTTTCCCTCAACAATTGGAAACGGAGTCTGAATATGATCAAAGACCTCCAGTTAGGAAATACACTACTCAGAAGCCTTTTAAAAACAGATTCGAGAATTACCAAAACGGCGGTCCTGGTCATTCCCATTACGGAGATCTGATAACAGACGGAAAACCTCCGAATTTTCCATCCTATAACGATTATTACAACAGAAGATTAACAGCTAGTCTCGACGATCATCCGCCGCAGCATCCCGAAAATGGAAATGGTGAGTGGATTTTATTGTCTACTTCTAAAGGTTATAAATATCCAAAACATAGACAAAGATCGCTCAAGGTAGCGAAAGATATGGTAGGTGTTCATAGATCTGTGCGTCTTACAGTTTTACCACCTCTCGAAGACTCCAATGTCAATATGACCACGTCCCACGGTGGATTACTACAGGTAGAATCGACCTTTCAATCAGTCGAAGAAGCACAGAAACAGCATGCGGAAAAAGAGAAATTGAAACGAAGGAAGGCTACAACGGCTCTCCCTCCTACCACTAAAAAACCTTGGCGTATATGGAGAAAAAAGTTTCAACCGACCGCTACCACTGATGGCTATATACATTCAAACGAGCAGACCGAAACTGTTCAAAATTTTCCCAAAACTGTAGCCATTGCTTCAAATCCAGCTGGACACGACAGTGCAGCCGTTCTGGCTGCAGTTGGTGCTGGTATGATACCCGCGACCATGGCAATGCTCGTCCCTATGGCGATGGGCGGCAGAAGACGAAGAAGAAGCACAAAAAAATTAGTTTATTCCTTTCCTCTTTTTAATCATTAGCTAAGATTTATTTATTATATTTATATATTTATTAATAAATTANTTTATATTTCACAATAAATGACATATTGCCTCGTGGTTTCATTATCTATCTAACATCGTACAAGGTAGTGCATTGTACATACTCAACAAAATATTCCAACAATTAGACTGTTTGTATTTTAATGAGTAGGTAGACATTTCTATAATAAATAGATAAATAAATAATTAATGTTAGTAATTAACAGTTACAATCAATTTTAATGTCTTTTTCGTCTACTTTCGAATTTCTTTTGAACTTCATGGAAGTACCTGGAAATTGTCATTGTCGTATTTCTCATCATTTCCAAACCAAGTTTTATTTTCAACTCTATCAAATCTCTGAGGACTTGCATGATTGACGATGTATCTGTGGGTTTATAAATTTCTGTCTGTTTCGTTGAAGAACATGGTGGAAGTGAAGAACTTTCGGAACTGGATGACGACTTTTCAGTTGTTGCTTTAGAAGCATCTTCAGTTGTTGTGAGAAGAGTTGTGGAGAAGTCATCTACTTTTTCAGTATTTTCAGCGTCTGATGTGATTTCGTTAGCCTGATAATTGTGTATTTCGTTTTCAATATCGTTTTTACTGCGTTTTCTCCTATTCAAACTACGGGGACCATGCTCTGGAACTGCAGCGGGCGTCACTTCTAAAATTTTTTTAGTTATCGCTCCCACAACGAATTGTTTGTTACTGTTATATATAGAATTGGGGATATCAGAAGGTTTAGATTGTATTTTAGCATCATCATCGAAATTACCGTAATTATTTTGCGGAACGTAAGCGTCAATGGTGTCTCTGTAACTTTTGTGCCTGTCGTTAGAAGTTCTCACGTTCGTTTTCTCATTTTTGTCAGTTTTCTTATAAAAATTGTCTTTTTCCATTAACATATCCAGTCCTTGGTTTTCTGGCATACCAGCAACCACTTTACTTATCATATCTTCTTCTGCTACTCCTCCAATAGAATAATCATTGTCGTAGTAATAACCTCCCTTTACATCTTTTCTTTCAATTTCGTAAGAACGCCTCAGTGTTCCGAAGGGATAAAGGAAGTAACTTGCCAAACCTGCGGTTACCATTAATCCTACTAAACCCACGCCAACTGTTGGCATTATCTCTCGGGAAAGATAGTTATAGATTTGCGTGCCGATGGGTTTGCCGTTATTGTGACCAATTTTATCGGCAATTTCTGTTCCATTTGCGCTTTTATCTCCACTCGATGGACGACGACGTCGGTTCTTGTTCTTCTTCTTTTTTGGAGGACTTTTTCGATTCTTTTTTTGTGCATCAGTTGCGGTGGTCGATAACTCAACTTCACCTTGCTTTGCTTCCGCTGGAAGCGCTGTAGTGGACGTAATCTCTGAAGATTTGGTGGCATTTGCAGCTTTTGTTACGAAAGTGGTCGTCGATGACTTTAACGGTGATGAAGATGATAATAAGGATGTGGGAGCTGCAGTCATAGAAGTTGTAGTGGAGGTCAATGTTGTTTTGCTAGATGTTGTCGCAGTACTGGATATGGGATTCTGGGTTTTATTTTTAACGCTCTGTAAAACCGAAAATTTCAACTTTGTGATGGGCATCATCATTTTCGTTGTCGTTGACGGTTTTTTAGTGGTAGTTGTTGTTGCTGGCCGTTTTTTGAAAAATGGCTTGATTGGTTTATACGAACTCTCGGTTGTGGATGCAGATGATGTTACATTCTTTTCGTTTATTTTAGTTGTCAGTTTAATAATGGGTTTTATGGTCGGACGTGCAGTTGATGGGGATACTGTTTGACTATTCAATAATACCCACGTGGATAATCCTTTTTCCGTTGTTGGTTTAATTTCCAATTTGTAAATAGTTGCTTTCTTCGTAGCTTCTTCCAAATGGAAATCGTACTCGCTCTCATCAGCAGGAATGGCCATTCCCGGATGAGAATTCTCGATTATATGTTGTAGTTTATGGTGATTTTTCATTTGTTGTTTTACCCGGGGCGGTGTCCTTGTATCGAGAGTGATAGTCGTATTCGGCAATGTGCCATTTTGATCGATAAGTTGATTCGTGAGCTGTTGGATTGTTTCACCTATTGGTGGACGAGTTGCCCTGAAATAAGCAATATTCAAAATACGCATCCATCTCACGCCTATCCGAAGGTACAGGGAAAAGAAAAATTTAAAAAGACTGGAATGATTTATTTTGTTACCCTTACTTACAATAATATTTACACAATTCAGAAAAAAAGACAATAAATAACTATAAACTAATTAAAACTTATAAAAAGGCTCCTTAAATGTAAACGATTTTAGATTCGTCTTACGTAAAATTTAAGCATGCAGATCTTACCCAAAAATATTGACACACATTGTACATAAGATGCTTCCAGAAATGTTGGGAAAAGCGCTTATTTTTTGCGCCTTTTCCAACTGATAATGGTATGATTATTATTAGCACTATTGTGCTTTTCTATAAAATTATCAAGAAGGTCCAATAACGTAATCGTATTTGTAATGTTATAAGCTCTTGGTTTTCTATGATCAATTACGTTTTTCCATCTGTTGGTATCATGGTTATAATACCAGCCGCCTTTATGTTTGATGGGGGGATAATAATGGTCATAATAAGTAACTTCCGGTTCGGGGGATTTACTGGATCCTCCGAGAAATAGGTACGGTAACCACCAAGGAAACAACGAGCCAAACATCATCATGCCAGTGAGTGGAGACAGTGGATTACTTCCAAAAAGACTCCATAGGATTCTCAAAAGACCACCCATCATACCAAAGAACTCTCCAAACTCAGGAAACTCAGGAAGGCCTGGCAATTCTGGAAAACTAGGGAATTCAGGAAGGCTTGGAAGACCACCTGTTCCTCCTTGTGTTCCTCCTGTTGCAGGAGCTCCAGCACTAGCAGGATCCGCTAATGGAGCTGGATCAGCTACAATAGGGTCTGCTGCAACTGGATCTGCTACAACGGGATCCGCTAAAGGAGCACCAATATCTGCAGGAGGTTGGGCAGGGACTTCGGGATCAACTGGAACATTATCGTATTGATTTACAGTAGGTATCCTGTTGGAACCCAGGTTGCCGTTTAGATGGGTGTTAAAAGCAATGTTTAGATCTGGACAGCCTTGTCTACCAGAAGGACCAAAAAGAGAGCTGCCTATTTGAATACTGGGACAAGGATTGATACCAGATTCTCCTGCCTGAGCTAAAGTAATGGCAGAATGGCTGAGTATATTAGGTAAATTTGACGAAACCTGTTGAAGATCCTGACCTTGCAGAGCTATTTGAGAAATAGAACTGCCTATGGAACCTGAGGGATTTTCGGGAATTACTTCGGGCTGAGGATTCGGAATGGGAATACCGTAATCTTCCCAACCTTGTTTTAAATTCGAAACTTGTTTTAAATCGCTAGCTGATGATTTTTCAGGCCATCTACTAATAATAATATGAAGTACCGGTTGTGGTCTGGTACTAGTTTTGTTAATAGTTGTTTTAGTAATATTATCTTGGTCTAGTTTTTGTTTGTCTATTTCAGTGATATTTACGGTTTGTGTGGTATTAGAACTAGTATTGTTTTTGTTCTTTTTTCTTTTGTTTTTAGGTTTGTGTTTCTTATTTTGACTTTTGTTAGTGTTTTTAGTTTGAGGTTCAGGTTTTGAATTATGATTTTTAAAATGTACATTATGCGAATCTTTTTCATTAGATTTTTCTTTGGAAGGGTCTCCAAATAAAGCGTTGTAAACAAAATTTGAAATTTCATTAAATGTTTTCGGTAAACGTTCGGTTTTATTAGTGGAAATAATGGTGCCGTTGTCCATCGTTGAGCTAAAGGGAGTACTATCAGTATGTGTCAATATTTCTGGGTTGTTGCTATAATTAGGAAAATCAGACACGTTGCTGTTGTACCTTTTTACTTCAGAATCCTCCAAAGGTTTTGCTTGTACCACACCAAGCCCAAAGATGAGGCACATTACTCGAAGTTTTGTAGCACTTTTCATGGTAACCTGAAAATAAAATAATACATTTATTTAACTACTAAAAGCACCGTTTCTCTTTTGTAGAAGCATCTGAAAGACATAATTTTCTATTCTATCCAACTATATAAAATGACGAATGAAAGCTGCTTGTCTGTCTTTTAATTCTTTAACTAAAGAAAGCCCAAAAAATTCTAAACTCTTAATCCAAAATATTGGATTGATATTGTTTTCCGGGTTCAATGTCACAGTCTATGGAATTTTGAGGTCCCAAATTGATATCAGCACTTGCTATTGCTAAATCACCACTTATCGTACTTTTAGCAAAGAAGTACGAAATTCTATGAATTACTTTAAAACAGCCAGCAAAATAATATCAAACTATATCTCAATGACTTCAAACAGAAAAATATGAAATTATACTCAATCTTCGCAGCTGGTGTTATAGTGCAAACAACACCATTAGTCTAGAGAAACTCGAGTATTTAAAAAATAAGCAAATGCCTGCAAGGTTTTTTAAAAAATAGGTACTACAAAAAAGTATTTTGAAAATACATATTTGCATTTGGCATTTAAAATACAAAAGCGAAATCTATTTTGTATTTTACGTTTGAAATAACTAATGAAAAACGTATTTGCATTTTGTATTTAAATACTTTTAATAAACTACTTTGCACATCTCTACCAGTGTAGTGCAATGTAATTCGTAGTTTAATTTAGAAATATTGTAGCGCCTTTTGAATAGTCAGTAAAACAAACGGTAAATGCAGGTACTACGCAAATTTTTATGCCAAACACATTTGGTAATGTAAAAAGGTATAAACAACTAAGCATGGTGATGATAAATAGTTTCTGGTGAAAGGCATACTTTTTGTGAGAGTGAAAACAATTAGGAGGTAATAAATATAATTAATTACTGTCATCTCAGACAAAGTGTGCGAGTGCGTAAGAACAATTAAAAAGTTTTGCCTTAACAAATTAAACTAAATATGACCCACATGAAAGTAAAAATTAAAGAAATGAAAACCACACTTAGTCATACTACTTGGTAACCCATATTTTTGGAAGTAATATTTTTTGTAATACTTAATTTTAATTGTAAAGGTTTAGAGTTTCCAAAATAATTATCATGTACTTAGCAAGAAAAAGAATTTACAAGAGATAATCTCTTTTTAGGCATTTATTTTTGAAAACGTGTAAAAATGAGTTCTGCAGCTTCTGTAAACATGCAACTAACTATAATACAGTCTATAGGTACATTTTTTGTCAGAAATAAATAAGAAATTGATAAATTTAATAAAGGTATTTTACGGTGAATGGACCCATTTAACCGTAACCATTCTATTTTTAACATTTTCTTAGTTTTGTTGTATGCATACCATTCACTTCAAGTGCTCTTTAAACAATAATTAGTCTTAATACAGTTTGTTCTTTTTATGAGTGCAGCGTGAAATGCGAAATTCATTGTTAGCAGATATAACCATCCGCTTCAGAAATGTTCATAATTAATTTGTTGGAAGTAAGCCTTTTTCAGTAATATGTAGGTACATTATTAATTTATGTTCAGCATACAATACTGGAAACGGTTGTTTTGAATGCATCTTTGTGCTAGTTATTTGATTAATATTGCCTGCATCAAAGCAAAAAGTATGGTCTTATATTGTCGTTCCTGTTTTGATAACTTGATTAACCCAAAAAGAATTAAATATAAATTTTTAGTTCCAAGTTATGTTTTATGCCAACTGTTTTGGTTCGCGATGACAAAAAGGTGATCAGAATTCTAAATAGTAATGAGCAAAAGCGAGACCAAAACTGGGACAGTCTTGGTTTTGATCTTGGTCTTGCCCAAATACTTCTAGCCTGAGTCTTAGTTTTGGTCTTAGTCTTGCGTGTTAAGTCTTGGCCATGCTCATTTAACCTGATACTTAGCTTTCGTTCTCCTTTTTGCAAAATTTAAATTCTAGTATAATATAAGCTCCACATTCCTGCAATGTCCCTTTGGACCCTTGTTCCTTTTGAAAGAATTTCGATGACAATGTTCTACCCCCACCTACTCTTAAGTTAGCAACCTTTTGCAAAACTCAACATTACATTCTCTGTTCAATCGAATTAGTTAAATTAAAAACACATTGTTCTTGTTTATTATATTCAGTACATGAATAAAATTAGTTTGTTAACCCTACGGTAAATCTGAGTCACTTAACAGTCCGTTGTTGGCGCATTCCACAATGCGCGCTGTACGTCCGGCGATCTTAAATGGATTTCCATGACATTGGCACTCGATTATACCGTTGAGAGGTCAACGCCTTTCCCTGACCACCTTCTCCGACAAAATCCACTTAAATAATCCCGGGATAAAAACTAGGTCACTCGAACCAAAAGTACGTATATATATAAACTAGATGAAGTCAGCTGTTATTGTTGTGTACCTAAGTACAATATTTAAAATCCTTTTTCAAGGATCGCCGCAGGAATGCGGACGTATTATCTATCGTTTGATTCCCGTAATAGGAAACTTGGATCTCAAGAAAATTCTCGATCGCAACACCGTCATCATCGTTAGAAGTGGCAAAAGAAAATGTGAACAGACGTGACATTGTTACACTTGTTTGAAATAGTACACGAAAAAAACTTTACGGATAGCAATTACGCTCGGTTAATATTAGAGAAAAAGGGAAACCCACTTTTGTGAAAGACGTTGTTCAATAAAAAAAAGAGTTAAATGCGAAGATATACTTACGTTTGTCAATGTGACGTATTTTCTGTACCAAACACCGTAACACCTGAAGAACTACTGCTGCTAGAACTGTCCATGCAGTGGGTATAGCGGTACCCATAGCTGGCACCTGAAAATCATCGGCTGCATAAGAAATAAGGAACGAACACATTTGTAATCAGTGACGTTTTTAAATTACTAAATTACTCTTGTGGTTTATGTTGTTCTTGGTAAAGGAATTCAATGGATTCTCTTAAAGTAGCGTTATCGTAGTTATGCAGCTAGCTACCTTGTTATGATAAAGGTAGCAAATTATAGTTAAAAGTCAATCAGCCATAATTTCTAGCATAAAAATAATCCTAACTAAATAGAAAAGTACTTAAAAACAACCCTGTACTATTATATAACTGCACATTATAAATAGTAGTCACCCAACCTCTTAATAGCTCTTGGGGTATCACCCCAAGGGCATCCAGAGAACTATGTTTTAATACTTTGTAAAAAATCTCTGAGTTTTAATTAATTTGCCCTTGCTATGGCCTATCTCTTGGACATCACCACCACAAATAAAGGAATAATATTCACAAAAAGCGCAACTTTGAAAGATTCGCTAAATACTCCCTTCATCAGAAAAGACTAATTAATTAATACATTTGTAAATTCTTGTTACTTTTACATGCAAAATTTTAAAATCGTCTTTCAAGAATTTCAACATTTACTGATTAATTTCAATGGAAATATGATAGCACAACTACACAGGCATTGCAGCTTTTATTAAACATAAAGTCAGGGGCGGCCTTTGGGGGTGGCGAACAGGGCAACCACCGGGGGCCTCGCTCTTGCAGGGGCCTCGCACACTTGCGCAACAATCTAATTATAAAAATATTAGGTAGTAATAGTACATACTACTAATGTTTATTTGAATTTCTTAATATTTTTAAAAGAAGCCACAAACTTGCTATCTTTGTCTTTATCAATCTTTTTTAATTTTCGATAAACAATTTTAAAACTGTAAACTTATTTATGAATCACTTTGCATTTTTTAAGTATCATCATTAAAATTAATACCACAAAGACGAAGGCCTAGCAAAAATTTACACGCCCGGAACCTTCCAATGACTAAGGCCGTCCCTGCATAAAGTACATTATTCTAGATGGCTTTAGGGTCTCCCATATACGCAATGAAAAGGTCATCCACTATTTACCCGTTCAGGCTGTATAATATAAGCCAAATTTTACACAGTAATAAAATATTAAGCATATATCTTAGCATAATGGCATACTTGGTATTGTATTTATCTAAAATTACTAAATACTGTCAATAATATTGCCGTGGAAATTGTCAGAAATATCAACGATAGATCGCATAAAGACAAATCTTTTACAAGTACAAGTAAGTACAGCACATAAACCAGAGATAATTATTTTATTAAATAAAATAATTCGAAGTGGTCTGTATTCTGTCGAAACTGCCAGACGCAGATGGCGATTTCGATCTTTTTTGATCTCATCAGCGCGTCGCAGGCAGCTCCGACAGAACACAGATCAACTTTTACCTGCTGCCTTAACAGTGCGTTTTAGAAAATACTACAAATGGCGCAGTAAACGCGACGCGCTGATGAGATCCAAAAAGATCGGAATCGCGATCCGCGTCTGGCAGTTTCGACAGAATACAGACCACTTCGAATTATTTTACTCGATTATGGTAAGGTGCCTATCACGTTGAGGTTGGCTACGCCGGGATTCGTTTTCAGCAAGTAGATATCCACACAAGTGGACCTTGTTGGAGCATACGTAATCCTAAAATGTAGCATCGTGCTACAGATGGCGTTTACTGCGCCATTTGTAGTATTTTCTAAAACGCACTGTTAAGACAGCAGGTAAAAGTTGGTCTGTGTTCTGTCGGAGCTGCCTGCGACGCGCTGATGAGATCCAAAAAGATCGAAATCGCGATCCGCGTCTGGCAGTTTCGACAGAATACAGACCACTTCGAATTATTTTATTCGATTAAGCTAACGTGCCTATCACGTTGAGGTTGGCTACGCCGGGATTCGTTTTCAGCAAGTAGATATCCACACAAGTGGACCTTGTTGGAGCATACGTAATCCTAAAATGTAGCATCGTGCTACAGATGGCGTTTACTGCGCCATTTGTAGTATTTTCTAAAACGCACAATTATTTTATTGTTTCACAGTTATACACCAATTCAAAATAAATCAGTTTAATCACATTAGTAAAGATAAAATTAACAGTTAATTGGTAATATTTAATTATTTCATCTCAACTTGAATGGTATACTGCTACAAAAAAATCATTGGTACGGTTTTTCAGTTCACATTTGGCAGGTTTATTTTTGCATATTATATGTACTGAATACTCTCCTAACGTGATTGTTTTTATAATCCTAACGCCTAGTGCTTTAAGACATTTATATTATCTACTTGAAATGATCACTCATAATCATAAATCTACTAGAGCGGATAACAAATGTACCGATCTACAGATGGAGATACATTGGTAACATTGAACCTCTCGATTGGATCAAATTATGAACGGCTGCATTTTTAGCAGTAGTCTTCGACAACAACAACAACAGCGGAGCATTCTTAATATTCGAAAGTAATAAGGACGAGTTAATAAGAAGTGGGGTATGCTCTAATTATCCACTGGTCGAGTTTCTTCCGGATAAGGTGAAAGATCAAGAAGACGAGTACAAATCAGATCTCTCGTCGGATTGTTCTGGAGCAGCTTACGGAAAATTACTCTCATGGAAATATGTACATACATGTTTACGCTGCGCAAAGTCTACGGTAGAATTATAACAACGATTACTACAGTTAATTAGCAGCCTAGCAATTAATTAAAACGTTTTCAGAGAAGTGAAAATTATTTTATCTTTCTTTCAACAAATAAACCCTTGACATGAGAGTACATGAACTAGTTTTTATCGCCATAAAAATCAGGCTAACAGTAGCAATTACAAGACAAAAATTAAGAAAAATTACCCGTTTAGTTAATTGGACCTAACTGGTCGTTACTTTTAAGTTTATGGTCCATTCTCCAATACCACTGTAAATAGCATTAATTATTTGTAGCAGATTATTGTCTATCAATTTAATAGTTTTTAATTTTGTTTGTATAACTTCGCCTATAAGCTATTTACTTAAATCAATCTAAGGTAAACACGTTATTGAAGATGGAACAACAAAAATTCCTAGGCTCTCCTACGATAGCCAAAACTTTTTCATGCTTCTGCATATTATGTACTTTATGAATTATAGAAAATTGAAGTCTTAGATTTGGATTAGTCAATGTAGGATTTAACATCAATGAAAATAAGTCAAATCAGTAAAACAATTACAATAGAGCATAAACTATATTTAAGACCGTAAAACATTATTGTCCTTTTACGTATTTGCTTAATTTATTATTTTTAATATGAAGAAAGCTTTTTTTCTACAACAACTTTTTTCTTTAGATGCGTAACCTACGATTCAGGATCTCCTTCTGAAGAGGAATAACTACGCACGAGAAGACCGTAAATCGAATGAATGAACAACTGAAAATAGGACGACCTGGGTGAGTCGGCACATTTCATTAAAAGTAATTAATTACAATAACTAAAGTTTTCAAATCTAACAGTAGTTCCCTGCAAACAAATAGCTATCTGTAGTCAGGACGTTCAAAATTAGCATAGTCCGCAGTAAAACTATTCATTTACTTTCTTCTTTCAACTTGCTCACTAGACTAGAGCGGTTGCTGATACGACAGACGTCGTAGCAAATATCTTAAACATAGAAAAGAGACGTCAGGTAGCAATTGCAGCGGACACTAATAAAGAAACAGAAATAGCATTACACCGATTAATGTGTAACAAAAAGAGATGCAGACAAGCAAAATTTCAGCATGTTGCCAGCATAGAACTTTAAAGAAAGTTAAACATTCTCAGGAGTTTAGGAAAATAAAGAAGCTTGATTAATGATATAATTCAAATCAGGCAGTTATAAAGCCGACCCTGACTTTTTACGTACCTAAGCAACGTCTAACTGTTGTATCGCTTACTATTATTCGGTTATCTCTTTTCACATTGTTTGTTTGTACCATTCATGAAGCATTTCCTAAAATAATAAGGGCGTCTTCAAAACACAGCAAATGACTACAGTACCAAGTGGAAACAAGAAAGAAGATTCTCCTGTCATGGTACCTATATAATATTCCATTCACTAGTTCGCGTATCTTTTGCTCTTCTTTTTACATTCCATATTTCCAATCACATACTAATCGTATTCTTGACCTACATGCATGCATTATCATTTTTTACATTACTACTATGTTTCTGTTAGAATGAACGTTCTTAAATAAATTACTATTAAACGATCCTATAGCTAGGGATACAGATTACAAATGGAACTTCGACGTGCTGATAAAAAAAAGCTAAGTAATTGATGATAAGTTTGATTATTGTTAATGATGTGATGATTCCTGTAACTCAAACTTCATATTTAGGAAGTATACGTATAAATGTTGTATGGTATTCTGCATGAAACGGGGTTTCAGTTTGAACGGTCTATGCATCAACTATTTTGCTTATTAAGAAATTATTCATTTAGTTACTTAAAACATCATTAAAATTGCAAATTCTGAGTGGAATGTAAACGTGTGTGAGTACGTATGAATATGCATGTTGGTTATGCCTTGGTCACTTCTAGTTTAAACAGGTATAGCGGAATATGAAAGATACTATCAGGATAGGTAGCTATTAAAAAATAAACGTCTCATTCGAGAGAGTTTGAAATTGCTTGCCACCTTAATGTTTATGATGATAGCATCATTTTCAATTTACGTTATATTTTATAATAAAATTAAGAAGGACTAAATTCAGTATTGCACGGTAGACGATATACTCAATGTTATTAGGAAGACAACCCAACGTACAAATGAAAGGTTTATGATGCTTTCTCACCTGAAATCTTTACAAATGCAGCCTTAATCAAAACAATTTATTAATTATACATATCAAAGGTTTTATCACTGTAGGATTGTTCTCATTTATTTTCTAAAATCTATACAAACAATATTCTCAAAGTCCTTTACTTCTAATTGACTAATCAGATAGTGGAATACGC